GAGGTTGACCAGAAGGAGGGCAGGGAAAGAGACCAGCTGAGCAGGTGCAGCGATTTGTCAACTTGTGCAGAGAACTTCGACTAGAGGGACACTAGATTGAAATGATCACTCAGAAGAACTTTGGACAGATATTCTTTCTAGGCTCCACTCTAGTCTTTGACACTATCAACTCTCCATTCTACAGTACTTTGATTATATCAAATGCATTTGGTGTATTTGAGTATATTAGTGTCTATTTGGAGGACTGGCACTTCTTCTCATGAAACCATTTCCATATAATATCTGGAACTGATATTTTTAAAAACATCTCTAAGTTGTTATAACTATTTTCTCATATACTCCAAACATTAAGATATTGCTTCTGAGGTATAATGCTTACTTTTAAATATTAAGGTGGTTGGGCTATAGTTAAAAAATATTTTAACTGAACATTACTATGTTGTGATTATTTTATATGATTAATGTTCATGAGCAGATAATATTACATAAAACATATGATTACTTCAACAGATAAAATGGGTGTCACTCAATCAGTTGAAAAGCATCAAGTATAACGGCATCAAGAACAGAATAATGATATATCTGAGGCAAAAAAGAATTCTACATCAAGAATAAAGCATCAGCTTCTAGCCACCGTTTTATGTCCTATAGATTTAATATTTGTCAGCTATGATCTAATTCCTTGAGAATAATATGTTTGTCTTTTCTTTCTATATAGATATGTGTGTCTATTTATACACTGCTTTTATTGAAGAAGAGTAGAAACATGGAATGAGTGTTCAACACATAAGGTCACTTACAAAGGCTATAGGGGAAATGGTTAATATGCATATTAATTTTAGATATGTGGAAAATTCCAGCAGAGATACAAGAAAGCAAATGAAAATATAAGGCATAAATTCACAATAGAACTTATTGGTCCAAATATGTGACTGAACCATAATATAGCTTTTCTGTTCCTATGAAATATATGCTGTAATAATGCAGAGATTTACACACTATAGCATATATATATACATATATAACATATATATGAGCTATCTAGCTGTAGTTACTATAACTTACTATAACTGGACATAACTTACTTTCAAACTTATTCCACCTAAAACATAAAATTTCCCTTGTAAAGACAACCCAGTGTCTTCACATCTAAAGCATTTTCTCAATAAATATTATCTCAAAGCAGATATGAAACCTTCTATTGGGTTTCCAATAACTCTACCTATCATGAGGCAGAGTTGGTTAGAGGTGGAACAATATGATAGTGTAAGAGGGCAGTTGTTTTCTGTCCTACACAAGTTGACTTCTCAGCTGTCTCTGATGTACACAGAGATATCATTGGTTCCACTAAGTGACTGAGATCTGTTTATGACAGACTCACAGCCAGATGTATTTGGAATATGACTTAAGTCACTGATTAACTGCAGATCTTTGTATTGACTTCATTTTAGTCATCTACGTAAACATGATGCCTTCTTACATTCTATAGTAAGAAGAGAGGTATGAAACAGTCTGCTCAAAGAAGGGCATCCTCCATGATCTACAAAGCAGAAGCTTTGTCTGATGACAATTTTTTTATGCATTAAACAGTCTGCCTTCTTTGGAAATCACATCATGGCTTCCCATCCACAGGGTGATGGCACAAACTATCACCACCATAATGTTCTGCCCAAGCACCAGGGTCAAAGCAGCCATAAATTGACTCCTCTGAAGCCCAATATAATCTCCAGATGATTCAAAAAATCCTTCTTTTGAAAGTCAATGGACTTCTGAGCTCCAAAGCTCTTGTTCTTTTGGGGAAGATGGTAAGTAACGTGTGAAACATCTATCAAGCAATAATGGTCAGAAAAAGAAACTGGAAAACTTAGAAGAAAGAAAATAACAAGCTTGATTCTTTTTCCTTTAAAGACTTTCCAGATTAATTAATTAATTAATTAATGGAAAATTTTCACTTAGGATTAAACCTGGTGTCTCATTAAGCATGCAGGCATTATATCCCCACCCATATAAATAATTTAAATTCATCTGCTGTTCTGCATCTGACTCTTCTTGGTCAATGTATTTCCAACTGAACCATAAATACAGAAGCCAGAATGTAGAAGTTCAAAAAATGTCTAAAAAGACAATGGAGTAAGTGTGGTTTACTGGATTAACATTTGTTGGAGAAATGGTGACTTTAAGGGAGATATAAGTCCACGAAAAGGTGCATATGGGTGTTTGAAATGTTTAAAATGTTTGAAATGTTAAAATATTGCAGGCTTTACCTTAATGATAGTTTGGGAAGCCGGTTTTTCTTGATGTCTAAAATCAGTCATAACATGTAAAACAGAGGACAGAAAAAATAAAGTACAGAAATCTGTAGTACATACTGTGAAGAAAAGAAAAACCTATAGTTTACCAAAATAAGAGATGCCTGTATTCCCAGCACTCAGGAGGCTGGGCAGGAGGATTATGTGTTTGAGGTCAGCCTGGCCTATGTTGTGGAGATTAGAAGAAGCCTTGAGTATATATGTATAGTTGGCATGGGAACAGCCAAGTTTATGATGCAATGCTTTGGTCCTATAGAAGTGTCAAGGCTTTGGTCAAACACAGAATGACAAAGCCTTTGCCTGGTCCAAGTATACAAATGACTAAGCAGTTTGTGCACAGAGTCTAGCAACTGCAGCTTCCTCTTTCTAGATGTTTACAGCCAGAGAGTGCTCATAAGAAACCTCCTATGAAGATTAGCTAACCCTTCCCACTGTACCTGAGGTTTTCTCTCATCAGAATGCACACATCCCATCTGACCCCAGCGTTTTTATGTATGTGTCTGTCCTTTCTTCACTCCCTCACCACTCCTAGTTAAGGGAATAGTGCCAAGCTTTGCATAACACAGCACTATGGAGAAGCCCAGCCTAAGCTACAGAGAAAGTGGCTGTATCATCAAAAGTTATGCTTGAAGTTGTGAGTGTGTGTGTGTGTGTGTGTGTGTGTGTGTGATTTATCTGCTTTGTTCTCTAAATACTTCTAGTGCCTTGAAGAAGGGCGCTATGCTCAGGGCATGGAGAGATAACAGATATAAAATGAACACACAACTTTCTGGCAAGTGTCCACTGATTCATTCATAGAAAAGAAGAGAAATATTCTTCTAGCTGGGCTGTTGGATCTGCCCTCGGTGAGAGAGAAAGCACCTAGACTTGCAGAGACTTCAAGTGTCAGGGTGAAGGAACTCCCAGGGGTGCCACCCTCTCAGAGGAGAAGAGGATGGGGAAGAGTGAAAGGATTTTTGGAAGGGGGTGACCAGGAGGGGGCCAGTGAGCTAATGTAAAGTGAATAAGTAAAAATTTTAAATTAAATTTAAAAAAAAGAAAAGAAAATGGTAAATGTGTTAGAAACTGTCCACAAAAGTAATAGACTTGCTGGAGTTACATTTATAACATGTGCTGCAGGAGATGCTTTCAAAACTGCACCTAAGAATTTGAAGTTCTTGGCTTGGAAGAAAGACTTCTTTTCTAAATATGTGGAACCCTATAGATTCAATCCCCCTTACCCACAATACTATCTCTGGGAATTTATTTTAACAATCTAGAGAATATGCAATAAATTGTTTATATTACTTATAATGGGTCAAAAATCTTTTAAAAACAAATATCAGAAATAGGAGAATTGTAGGTAAGTATTACCTTCCCATATGATGGTAGTTTTTAATATAATAGGTAAGAAAGAATATTTGCATAAAACATTATAAACTGTTTTCTCTTTGAAGATAAACAAATTCTAGACAATGACCCTCTAAAACTTGATACATTTTATTTTATTTTATTTTATTTTATTTTATTTTATTTTAATTTTATTTTATTTTGAGGAAAGGTCTTGGTGTGTCTCTCAGACTCTTCGCCAACACACAATCCCCTGGCCTCTGCCTCCCAAGTGCCGGTACTGAAAGCATGCACTAGATCCAGCATATGTGTATATTTTACTTACTAAAAATATTCTGCCCATTTATCATGAAAATAATTCAATATGTAACAAAAATTTTATCATATGATTAGCAATTTAATACTAAAAAGTTGGAGAAGAAAACTATTTAAACACTGATCAAAAGCAACTATTCAAAGAAACAAATAACGTAAGAATACAAAATATAACTTGAAGTAGACTGAAAAGATTTTTATCTGAGGTTGGGGAGATATTTTGATGGATAAAATACTTGATGTGCAATGATGAGGAGCAACTATTGGATCCCCTGGACCCATCTAATGTTACACACAACAGTCTGTGAGATGGGAGGCAAAACCAGGAGAATCTATGGAAGCTCACAGGCCAGCTAGCCTGGGACACTCATGCATGGGATTGCATACTCTCATACGCACAACACATAAAAGATCCCAATCCAATATTAAGTATATATTTTAAAAATATACATTCAGAAGAAGTATAAGAGAATAAATAAAATATCAGAAATGGTAAGGTTAGGGTGAAACATTTGAGTTTTCTTTTAATTTGTTAAAATTTCCCAATCAATATAATAAAATATCAAAGTAGTTTAAATCTTCAGATAGGGGAAAAACTAAAAATTTGTTTGAGACAATGAATCACAGAGAAATAATAGGGACCTGGGAATGAGGAAGAGAGTAAATGTGGGCTTTCTCTACTTATAAGGGGAGCAACTTGACTGAGGATGAGTTTATGAGGAGGTCCATAGGACAAAGTGGGCAGGAATACCTCCATAATGCTGAAAGAATATCCCAGTTGTTTTCTAGATTACAAGTGAAGCAGGAGATTGAGAACAGCTCCCAAAAAGATACCATGGAGCCAGTACAGAGCAAGGGACAATTCTACAACAATGAAAGCTGAAAGTTTTTCTGAAGATGTGGGTTAAATGGCTAGTAATGTACCAAGTGGTGTGTATTCCCAACTTAACAAAATCAGGATGGAGCTTGTCAATCCTGGGAGCTATTACAATCATCCTTACTTAAAGACACCACCAGAAATATCAATAAAACTCATCACCTGCATCATGAAACTTTAGATTTATATTTATTGACTTTAATAGATGGTAGAGTTGTGCCATCAATAACAGACTCTGCCCCACCATAATAAAACAATATACATAAAAGTTGCATGTCAGAAAAAGACTTGATTAAAATCACAGAACATCCATTTGGACACAGGAGTGATGTATGAATTTGGTGCTTTGCTGTAAGATCACTAAACAATGAGTTATTGTTGACCTTTTTTCCAGAGGAAGCATAATACAGTGCTAAGATGGCTAAACAGGAAACAGGAAGGCCTCAGAAAGCTGTTACACTACAACTCTACCTATGGGTAGACGTAAATACTCATGTACGCAATGCCTACCTCAGCATTAGGTGCTTATGAGGGAGAAGCACATTGAATTTGAGTGGAAAACACTGGAAAGACAAGAAACAGGAATGTGTGAGAATGTCAACTGATCACCCTCCATTCTTTGTGGAAACTCAGGACGTTCTTGATTTCCACACCAGCTTCAGCTGCCATCCCCAGAACCAGCTGCAATGGGTATGCGAAATTTCTAGGGTGTTCCAAACATACGCCAGTAATAATCGTCACCATGCTGCTGGGATCCAGGATCCCTGGTCTGGATGAATCCAACAGACTTTTGCAGAACTCAAGAATATTGTAGAGATCCCAGGCATCAGAGTCTGGTTTAGTCATCCTGGGTCTCACCAACCTCTTGGACACAAAGGACTGGCAGAGAATGTACTGATTCCTTCTCTTTAACTCATCCTCTAGAAAAGTGATGGCTGCCAAGGCCCTGCGGTCTTCCCATTTTAGGATGTATAGTGTGTCAACCACAATCTTGGGTATGATAAGAAAAAACTTAGCACTAGTGGCTAGTTTCTGTATGACTGAAAGATGCTCACAGAGGGCCCTGGGGTCAGGGAACAGGTAAGGGGTCAACACTGACCGAGTCTGGGGACCTCGAAAAGTTTTCTCTAGCAAAGCCACTTCCCGCTGTAACCAGAGCTGGACTATGTCTTTGGAAAGTCTGATTCTTGGAGTTGTTCTTGGAAGCTGCTGAGTTGCACTTTCTGATCTTTCAAGGGTACTAGTCACAAAGACACCCAGCTTAGAGTCAAACCTCAAGAACTGTCCTGGGAGTCTTGTTGCAAAGTGACCAAAGCTTCTGAAGAAACAAATACGCATAATAACTTCCTCCTGGTTGGTGAGTTGAGGTGGATCCTGCCCTAAGCCTGCCCTGTCCTGGGACACTTGAGGAGGGGACTGTTGGAACAGGGCTATGTCCTCAGGGAGCTGAAGGTACTTGGGAGTATTTGGCCATTGACAGCTCTGCAGCAAGTCCTGGAGATGGTGAGACAGGCAAAGGCCCGGATGTTGAAGGTCCCCCACTGAGGGCAACAGGTTCAGCAACACGCAGAGATGGTCCCACAAACTACATCCACTCCTCCAATGTGACAAGAGGAGGCTGTGATTGCTGCGGAGCCAGCTCAGAATCACCTTGATGGTAGGCAACAGTCCCTCTCCAGAAAGAATGTCCAGTTTCCACTGAGTGGTCTGGAGATTATTCTGGGTGATGAAGGACTTCTGCTCCCAAGAGGAATCCGTGTGGAATTCTGTCTCAGGAAAGCTGCTCATCTCACCTTCAGTGCCCAAGGAACTACTGACAGCAGGGCTTGGATCAGTCTGAGGTGTTAGAACATTATGACTGAAGACAGGACCCAAAGGCGAGGCATGTTTTCCTTGGAGGTTTTGGCTCAAAGGAGCTGGCAGGCTAGAAGAAATAGCTGTTTTCAAGAGATCAAGGAAACTGTCAGGAGGTACATATGCTTTCAGTTTGCTTCGGGAATGAGTGCTTTTAGATTTGGGTGGACCCCCACTCTTCTGAATTTCCTCTGAACCCAAGGACCCACTCCCTTCTTCATCTGTTGTATCAGAGTGGGATGTCTCACTGCTTGTGTCCGATTGTGCCTGGGAACTTAAGGATGAGTTTTCATCTTCCTCTGTCTCATCTGAGTCACAATAGGAATGAAAACTGGACTCACTCTCTCGACAAATACCAGACCACTTTTGGATTTTCTGAGAGTGGCTGTTCTGGAGCCCAGGAGATGGAAATTCTTGATGTTGTTCCTTTCCAGGCTCTTTGTCCCAGCGTCCATCTCTGGGAGCAGCCTCTTCTGGAGTCAACTTCCTCTTCTGCAGCTCAGCCTGGATCCGTGTGTTCACATGTTGTACTAGATAAGAGAAAAGAGTCAGGGTGAAGATGACAGCTGGTTTTTGCTGTTTTGCGCCTGATTTCCTCAGGCTGTGCACATTCATGAGACAAAGAACCACCATGTGGAAGATGAGGAAGTCCGGAAGAAACAGATAGCCTTTAGGAGGCTTGTCTTCTGTGGAAGCCTGGCACAGGCCAGATTGATGCGGCCTGTAGGAAAGACAAAGACGGAAGTCATCAAGAACCAGTTGGCACAAGGCTATAAGCCTTGGCGCTTTGAATTTTCTCTTGGGCTGCAGGAGACTCTGAAGGTAAAGGAAGCTAACCAGAAGCCTTTTGTTGTCCCAACATTGCCTTTGGCTGTGAGACAGTTTCCTTCCCTGGTACCTCTTCAGACAACTGTATCTCTTTCCGGCATGATCATAGAGCCGTTTGAGGTTCCAAGCTGCTCCTTTAAAAGGCACTTCAGCGTGGAGGCAGCGCTGATAGTAGTATGTGGCTTCCAGACCATAATACTTACTCCCCATGAGAGCACCCAGTTGGTTGAAGGGCATTCCCATATTCGGGGCCACTGACAAGGCTTTGTAGTAACATCTCTCTGCCAAGTTCTTGGTGGCCAGGTCTAGGAACTCATGCTGATACCGGAACAAGTCTCCCAGGTAGAGCAGGCAGCGATGACAGGCCATGCGGGCCCAGGAAGCCTCTTCCGCTGATGTGGGTCCCACTTTCTTACAGCCAATCAAGTGTATGGCACTGTGAGGCCAGTCGATGTAGCTCTGTAACCTCAGTTCATAGTGGCCCTGAAGGAACAGGAAGAGATGCTCATAGAACTTGAGGCCAGCCTTCAGGTGAGCCTGCAGGGGCTCTCCCCAATGTTGGAAAGTGTCCATTTGTTTCTTGTTGGTCTTCATGAGCAGCATGACAATGTCAGAGTATATTTTCCTCCATAAGAGCTCTTCGGCCTTCCTACCATAAACCACCGGATGCAGGAACATGAGTTTAATGCAGGCTTGCTGAACCATCTCTCTGAGAGCCAGGACGTGTGGCTTAAAAACCTCTTTGTGGGCATTTTCTTTTTGAAGGAAGAGATCCAGTCTCTGAGCTGCCAAGCAGACCTCCTGGTAGAGGAGTGTAGCCCTCAGAGTTTCTTCTTGGTTTCTCTCCATGAGGCTGGATTCTTTTTGAGCAAGGCTAACAGTGTTTCCTGAGAAAAGATTAAAATTGCCTGTTAGTGTTCACGCACAAAGACTGAAAATACTACCAACCAGAACAATAAAGTTGGAGTAGATACGTTTATTCTCTCACTTATAAAAACATTTAGTCTCATGTTCTTTACCTCCAACCCCTTTTGTAAGTATATTTCCTTGGATGTCATTCCCATCAAAAGTCAAACCTAAGGAGTCACTTCTAAATGTATCTCTAATAAAAGAAAGTCAAAAGTATATGCATTGAAATCAACCTAAACAATCTAAAATGAATGAATTCCTTATGTACATGTATATGAGGGGAAATTGGTTTAGAAAATTATAATTATATAGACCTAGATAAATAAGAATTACTTGAAAAACTGGAATATAAAATAATATAATCACAGCTTTCAAATCTAAAATATTGATAAGATCCCCCTCCCAAAAGAGCTATAATCCTTTGTTTAACAGACATTCTACTGAAAGTCCTTAATTTATGTAATTTAAAAATATGACCTTTGAATGACTGGTATAGAGAAAAATTAGTACTTAAATATACGTTCTAAATCTAAAGTTATAAGAACTGAGGTGATGATCCACACCTGTGATCTCAGCATCCCTGGAACCTGGGGTACAGGGACAAAAATTTTCAAGGCCAGCTTGGCTAGCTTAGCTAAGCCCTGACTCAAAATAACAAGAAACAAAGAGAACTAGGTATATAACTCAGCTCTTACCTATTGAATGGAAAGAAATATATTCAATCCCCAAAATTAAAAAAAAAGGAAAAAAGCTAACTAGACAACGTTTTAACTGAGTAATTAAATAACTTTGAATGTCAAGTAAACCAGACTAATTGAATGTGTGCCCACTGAAGGACAGAGCCAGGATACCACATGGAAAGTTTATGCATCTATCACTAAAAAGGGGAACGTTGAAAGGAGGACCTGGCCAGAATAAAAGAAAATGATTTTGTAAAAAAGCAATAAAGAGGCTGGAAATGCAACAAGCAGCACACAGCCTGGCAAACACCCAGAGCAGCTCAAAAGCTCTCACTGGGTAGAGAAATAAGGGCCCATCTGTTTTTTTCCCAATTCTGAACTGTGTAGGAAAGGGGGACAAGCCTACTGTACAAATATCTAGAGACGACAAAGCTACAACCTATAATAGATTAGCATCTTTCCCTCCCCCCACTCTCTCTCTTCCTTCCCAACTTCTCTACCTTTCTCCTTCCCTCCCCTGACACACAATTTGTCTAAAAGAAATTATCATATCAAACTACGAGAAAAACAGGTCTAAGATAGCTTTAAGGTTTTACCTAAATAACCTTCTCATTTGGAAAAGTAAAGACACCATAGATAAAATACCAACTCACAACAACAAAAAAGTTTTCTAAACATAATGGTGTCTCATGTAGTTTAGGAAAATTTTACTTCAACGTGTCTAGATAAGGTAGAAAACTCATCATCTTTAATCTAATTTTTCGGTTTTAAGAAAGTTAAAATGAGCCCTTTCAGGTGGTTCCCTTCAGCTGGGGCAGACTATCAGCTAGTCTGCTCCCATGAAGACACCACAGCCTGAGGCATCCCAGGAGATCCACTGCACATAGGAGAATTGGTTAGAACCTTCCTGAAGTTCTATAGCTGCGGGTAGGAGCACAGTAGACTAAGGACTCATCCCCCAAAACCCCCACCCCGCCATCCAAATTCCACTCCCCTTCTGACCAGTGCCTTCTGCCAAGGCAGACTGCCAGCTTGTCTGCTCCCCTGAAGATACCAGAGCTTGAAGGCATCCCAGGAATTCCTTTGCACACAAGGCAACTGGGCAACTGACACCACAGTCTGAAAACCAGGACATGCAAGGCAACTGACACAACAGACTGAAAGCCTCCCTGAAGTTCTACTGAACAAAGGAAAACAGAAACCATAGTCTGTTGACCTCCCAACCCCAAAAACAGCTTCACAGAGGACAACAGTTTGACTGCCCCTCTGAAGACCCAACAGTCTGAAGGCCTCCCAGGAGATCTGCTGCAACCCGGCCAACAGATCAGTAGCTTCTCTTCCCTTCTGAAGAGCTCCCAGTTGGAAGGACCCACAGGAGGTCTACAGGTCTATAGGCTACAGGCCTACCAGGAGACCTGAAGCAACCAACAGACAAAAGAGGCAGGCACCAGACAGAGACACACAGACCACCAAATACCAGGGATAACCAGGTGGCAAGAGGCAAGCACAAGACCATAAGCAGCAGAAGCCAATATACTTTGGCATCATCAGAACCCAGTTCTCCCACCACAACAAGTCCTGAATACACGAACACACCTGAAGATCAAGAAGTTGACTGTGATGATTTATATATGCTTGACCCAGGAAGGGGAACTATTAAGAGATGTGGCCTTGTTGGACTAGTTGTGTCACTGTGGGTGTGGGCTTAAGTCCCTCACTCTAGCTTCCTGGATATCAGTCTTCCACTAGCAGGCTTCAGATGAAGATGTAAACCTCTCAGCTACTCCTGAACCATGCTTGACTTGATGCTGCCCTATCCCCATCTTGATGCTGTTGGACTGAACCTCTGAACCGATAAATCAGCCCCAATTAAATGTTGTCCTTTATAAGACTTGCCTTAGTCATAGTGTCTGTTCACAGCAGTAAAACCCTAAGACACTGACCTAAAATCCTATCTCATGAAAATAACAGAGTCCTTTAAGGAAGATATAAATAACTCACTGAAAGAAATTTAGGAAAACAGAGGTAAACAGGTAGAAGGGCTTAACAAGGAAACAAATAAATTCCTTAAAGAAATACAGGAAAACACAATCAAACAGTAGAAGGAATAGAATAAAGTGGTCCAAGACCTAAAATTGGAGGTAAAAACAATAAAGAAAACATAAATGGAGGCAACCCTGGAAATGGAAATGCAGGAAAGAGGTCAGGAATTACAGATGTAATTATCGCCAACAGAATACAAGAGCTAGAAGAGAGAATCTTAGGTGAAGAAGATAACATGGAAGACATTGAGCCAACTGTCAAAAAAATTTCAAAACAAAACAAAACTCATAACCCAAAGCCTCTAGAAAAGCCAGGACACAATGAGAAGGCCAAATCAAAGAATACTTGGAATAGAGGAGAACAAAGATTCCCAAATCAGAGAACCTGAAAATGTCTTCAACTAAATCACAGAAGTAAATTTCCCTACTCTAAAAAAAGAGATACCCATAAATGTATAAGAAACCTATAGAACACTAAATAAATGGGACCAGAAAAACTTCTCTCTTCACATAATAATCAAAACATTAAATGCACAGAACAAAGAAAGCATATTAAAAACTGCAAGGGAAAAGGGCCAAGTAACATATAAAGGCAGACCTATCAGAATTACACCAGACTTCTCAACAGAGACATTAAAAGACAGAAGAGCCTGGTCAGAGGACATACATTACTAGGGACAGCATAAATGACAAGGACTGCCTGCAGTAGGCTGGGATGGAGACATCTCAGAAGCCCACAGCAGCTCCTTGTGAAGAGGATGGTGTCTGGGACCCTGAGAAGCAGAAGACACATCCCTCCAGGGGACCCACCATCTGAAATAAGGGACTGCCTGCAGTATGCCAGGTTGGAGACATCTCAGTAGCCCGCAGCAGCTCTTTGTAAAAAACAGTTGTTCCCACTTCTCCTAACTAATGCACAGTCCTAATGGCCCAGGTCCATACTGTGTGTTCTCATCTTGGAAACAATGCAATAACGTCACAATGATAGTTCCAGATTCATAAAGAAAGTTTGAAGAGATTACTAGAAAATGAAATATAGCCAACACTGGGACTCCAAGAAAGGTAAAATCTATTGAAGTTATGAAATAAGTTTTGCATAACATTTAAGAGTGGTTCCTAGATAAAGAAGTATAGAATACATAAAATCTTATACTAGTAAAACTAAGTCAAAACACTGAGACTCTTAGGAGAGTCATTGTGTGCAATGCACAGAAGTAGAAAGCTAGTGGAGCTACTGAGGTAAGAGTTGACTTAATTCTTTCTGGCCACTGCCTGGCAGCTTTGCCCATGTCATTTATCTTTAGAGCTCCACAGGAAAATGCAAGTAACTGACCTCAGAGCTCTGAGCTCTGAAGTATAATAAGTTAAAAGTTGAAGTTTAAATAATGATAAGTTTTCAATTATTATTATTTTGGCTACAAGCCTGAGAATAAGGAAGCCTGAAACTTTGGGGAACAATTGTAACTCTTAATTCTTTGTGGGATGTGGTTATTCTTTTGAATTTGATTTGGTGATTATTATACGATGTCTTTTTTTTCTGATTTTGGAGTATCAATAAAAGACTGGGGCAAGAAAAAAGAGAGAGAGCATGAGAAGACCATGTGAAGAGTGAATGAAGAGAGAATGTGAAGAGTGAGTGAAGAGAGAAAGTGAGGTGTGTATGGAGAGTGTATGTGTGAGTGAAAGGAGAGTGCGTGTGGCGTGTGTGAGGTGTATATGAGGTGTGTGTGAAGAGTGTGTGTGAGAGTGCGAGGGGAACACACAGAGGTGTGTAGGAGTGTGGGAGTTCAAGAAATGTGCACAGGAGAAAAGCAGAGTGCACAGGAGAATGCAGAGTGTGTGTAGCCTCAAGCTTGGAGCGAATGCGTACGAGAGAAAGAAAGTAGAGAATGACAGAAAAGAGAGAGAGAAACTTTAAGCCTTAAAAAATTGCCTGTCAGCTTGTACCCAAAAGTAGTCTGTGTATATTTATTATACGCCTTCCAGATAGCCCTTCTTCCAGTTGAGAACTCTGTCTTGTGTTGAGGCTGGACCCTGACAATACATATTCTAAGAGAACATAAATGCCAGCTACTATGCCCAGCAAACTATCAATCAACATAGATGGAGAAAACAAAATATTCCAGGACAAAACCAAATTCATAGAGTATCTATCTACCAATCCAGCTCTAGAGGATTCTAGAAGGAAAACTAGCATACACATAATGTCACCAACAAAAACAAATATGACAGGAACCAACAGTCATCTATCTTTAA